ATTGATGAAAAAGAACTTCAATATTTAAATCCACGTACTAGGTAGACTGAACTAGAAGTTCAGAAGAAGTAAACTGAACTAGAAGTTCAGAAGATAATTAATCTGTCAATATATATATATATATATATATATATATATATATATATATATATATATATATTGATCATAAAAAGAGTGACTAGGTCCTACATATTTTCCCCAACTTGGACCATATGTATCTACCAATGCTCCTTGACGCCAGAAGCGTGGAGACATGTTGGTATAATCCGCGGAAAGCTAAATCTAGTAGAAAATGGTGTCACTCTTGAAATCGCTTAAAGAAGTATTTCTGAAGACATTCGTCCAGAAGGCGAAAATCCCAGTAAAATTTTAGGTGCACCGAAAATCATAATACTGGGGATGCTGAACGACCAGATAAAAATATCTTTGGGAAATGTCTAGAGTCTGGTTGAATTAGAAATTGCCATTATTTTATATATATGGGAGAAATTTATGAAAAATGTTATAGTTGTCGACAACAGAATTGCCTTTACAAATTGTTCTCGTTATATGATAATCTGGATCCAGAGCTAGGCACCAATTGTGCCTTGGTATTTTTTATTATAACAGAGCAATTAAGGCATGTACAGCTCAACTCGCTAAAACTGTATTCTCTTTATAACACGTACACCATTTAATGTTAACCCTGTAGGTTACAAATGGGTGTTTGTACGAAAGAGAAATACAAACAATATGGTGGTATGACATAAAGCGAGACTGGTAGCTTAAGGGTTTTCGCAGAGACCCTGAATTAATTTTGATCAAATATTCTCTCCCACAACATATGGCATTACGTTCCGTAAATTAACATTATTGGCAGTGAATTATGAATTTAGATATGCAGTTGATGAACGTCATGACTGTAATTTACTGGTCATTAGACGCTAATATTTATTTGTAAATCCCCGATGGATTCAACACTTTTGGAATGTGGAAAGTGAAAATCGCAACGTGTATCATTAAATTACAAAATTCTTTGTAAGAATTGAATATTATTTACTGAGTGTTTTTCCTCCTAAAGAAGGAATGCATGTTGAATGATTGAGTTGACTATGTATTTTTTCCTCCCGAAGAAGGAATATGCAAATATGTACCATTACGTGTTCGTTAAAGAATTGCTAATGGAGTTATTTGTTTATTATCATAGTCGATATTGATGGTTTAAATATCATTGAAACACATAGAGAGCTTGGTGATATCAGCTCATGCCGAAAGACGGAGTTTTGAAATAAAAGACTTGGAAACCCAAGTATTGTCTCGACCTGAAGATCGAGCTTCTCCTTGAAGAAGTTTTATACACCAGTTAGCCTATTTGAAAAATGTCTTGAAGATGTTTTATATGGATAAGTATTATTTACTTATCATACTAACGGTCGTCCAATAATCTCTTGAAGTAGATAAAGGACAATTTAGACTCGAAGATGATAATGAGGATATTTTGGGACTGAAAGTCCATTACTTGATATTTTTGTTGGAGCACTATTATAGAACTAGAAGTTCTATAGTCGCATCAGGCCTGATATTGAATTTGCGATGAAATTGCTAGCAAAGTTTAGTGCTCCCTCTACAATGAAATATTAGAATTGTGTTTAACATATCCTCCAGCATTTTCGAGGTATAAAGATTTTGACGTTTATGTGAGAAACCAATATGTGATTTTGATGGCTACTTGGGTGCTGACTCTTTTATTTGATCCCTATGATGCCAAGTCTCAAACTGGTTATGCTAAGTTTTACCCCCAATGTCCCATATGAGGATGAATAAAGATTGTGTTGCCCGAACAAGTAATAGTTTTGTTAAGGGGAACCTTACAAAACATATTGCATGCACCTAAGTCCTTTTACACACATGAACTCCAGAAGAGTGGTAAAATTCTTGTTGAGAAAGTTTTCGCTAGTGAATAATCTTGCAGATATATATGTTCACTAAGTCTCTCCCTACACCCACTTTTGAGTAATATGTTTATAAAATTGGGATGCGTTGGCTAAGAAGATTGTTATCTTCAGGGGGAGCGACAACCCCTAGCTGTGCTAGAATGGACAATCTAGAGGACTTTTGAAATCCTAAAGATTATGCTATGAAAGCATATGATTGTACTCTTTTTCCCTTAGCTAAGTTTTTTCCCATTGGGTTTTCTTAGGCTAAGGTTTTTAATGAGGCAATTGTTGCAACACAATGGTTTGACATACTTCGTGTACTCTTTTCCTCGTCTAGATTTTTCCCACAGGGTTTTTCTATCGAGGTTTTTAACGAGGCATGAGTATAGTTATTTAATGGCCAAGGGGGAGTGTTATAAATATTTCAATTAGTGGCCATTAATCTTGAGACTCTTCATTTGCCTTCTACTTAATATCTTGTTTATGATAAGTATGTGAAAGGTTGTAATGGTCACTATAAATTGAGGGTGAAGGCTTAATGAAAAGATAGTCTTATGAAATTGTGTTCTATACATTGTGTTCTTCATCTCCCTTTTACTTATCTATTCTATATACTCATATACATACAATCAAGAAGCAGTACCGTGCAAACATCACGCGAGAACTGAGCTAGTTGATAGGCCAAATTACAACAGTAGTGGCCAAATCAAGGTATTAGAGACTTGTAGCTAGAGTGGTTCAATTGCAGCATTTAATTTGTCTTATTATTATTATTATTATTATTTCTATTTTTAACTTCACATGTTTTCTACTTTATACATATTGTGCGATGAGCTCAATTGAGAGCATGTTGGTGTAACAAATTAAACTTGTGACATGACTCAACCATTCATTTTCGTCAATTGTTATTCCTTTTTAATTTATGTGAGTGAAATAAATTTATAGTACCAAATTTTATTTTTTTTCACATGAAAATATAAATGCAGTGATCTTGATGTTCATATATTTCCAGTCTAAAATGATATTAATCAATACAAGACAATTGATATTGAGAAAGACACAATACATTAATTTTAACTTTTTTTTTAATCCACCGCTGCCCAGAACCTCCTTAGCTTCCCAGACCGTCACGTTTCTTGCCTTCCACCAGATCACTTTCCTCTAACACGCAGAAGCCATTGTCGGCCGACTCTGCTTGGTTGGAGCTCCACAACAAGAGCGCAGTCCATTTGGTGGGGGCGCTCTTCAATCTTCATATAAAGGTATCCATGCCGCCCATTTGGCTGTAATTCACATTCATTCAATTGATTTTTTCTTTATTAGCTTGAAGTTTTACTGCCATTCTTCAATGTATTCACGTCATTTAATTTATGAATATGTGTTCGATCTGTTTGTCGCTGCGCATCCTGTGACATTGATTACTTCTTCTTAATTATCTCGTAATCATATCATTGAATTTGACTCAGCTCCTGGGTTTCAAAAGAGGTGAGAAAATGCTATATTATGTAATTATTATTATAGCGGGCTTTTCAAATTCTGGGTAATTAAGGACTTGTTGACAGAATTTGAAATTGAAAAGCTAGACGTATTCTAACTCAGCTTTTGATATCCAGGGATCAAATTCTATGATATGTTGATGAGATAAAGAAGAAGTAATCCCTCGCCAGACGATGCCCAGTGGCAATAATATGAATTCAGTGAATGGTTTGCTTTATATGTTGTTTGGAATCAAGTGCATCCTTAGGTTCATAGTATTTTGGGAAAAAGACTATAATGTGACAAAGGGCTGGTCCATTTTTGAAAATATGATACTTTTTTTTTTGACTAAAATGTGAAAAAAACTTTTGGGACATGCGTTTTTGGCATGTCCCAGGTTTTTTTTTTTTTTTTTTTAGTTTACCAAAGACACGTCTGGGAATTGCGTCTTTGGTATTGTATACTGCTGTCGCATTTACGAAATGCGATCGCGGTATATCAATAGCATACGTTAAAATTGCGTCTTCCAATTCTTTCTTTCCCTTAACACTATCGTCTCCCCAAAAGCCATATTCATCCCTGAAATGCAGAGTTTCTCTCCCTGCTGCCATCCCCGAATCATCTAATAAGCTAGCATGACGAAGAAGAAGAAGAAGAATATGATGATGATGAAGAAGGAAGAAATCTGCATGAAATATGGACGGAGATTCAAGGTTCCAAAGATTGGGAAGGGCTGCTGGACCCCATGAACTCCCATCTCTGCCGCGAAATCATCCGGTACGGCGAGTTCGCCCAGGCCTGCTACGACTCCTTCGACTTCGACCCGCACTCCAAGTACTACGGCACCTGCAAGTACGACGGCGCCCAGTTCTTCGAGAAGCTGGGCATGGCGGACCGCGGCTACCGCATCAGCCGCTACCTCTACGCCACCTCCAACATCAACCTCCCCAACTTCTTCCAGCACTCCAGCGTGAACAGAATCTGGAGCCAACACGCCAACTGGAGGAAAAAAGACTATCTTACATACATTTTAATGTATACGGCGATTGCATTTCGTAAATGCGACGGCTGTATACAATACCAAAGACGCAATTCCCAGATGCGTCTTTGGTAAAGTATAAAATAATTAAAAAAAAAACCTGGGACATGCCAAAAACGCATGTCCCAAACGTTTTTTTCACATTTTAGTCAAAAAAAAATGTCATATTTTCAGAAATGGACCAGCCCTTTGTCACATTATAGTCTTTTTCCCATAGTATTTTCCTTATTATTTTTATTATCTTATTATTATCTAGTGATATTTAACCTTTATACTCATTATTTTTTACAAATCTAAACTAACGAAATAATAGAATCAACATTCTTAATAATTTTTAATTTTATTTTTAAACAAAAAATTAATTCACTAATCATAAGCATAAACAAATTTAAATTATTCTTTACAGCCAGAGCCAGACGTAGAAATAATTTTTTTTAACAATGTTATAGAAACAAATTTCTTAGCAATGAAGATTTTCATGAAATTTAAATTTCATACATTCTCAATTATTTTTTTACAAACCAAACGGTTCTAAAATTGCCGAAACCCTATTTGGCGACAAAACATTAGAATCCATGGATGATGGGCAAGTCCTAATTGCAATGGGCCGCAAATGTGTTGCTCTCCCCAATTTCTAAACGCGCCATATTTTCAATTTTCTTCAAATATTTTTGGCGCAATTCCCCAATTCAACACATCTTCTCTCTCGCACAAATGCTCACCTTTCGCATCCCAAAACCCCTCGCTTCCACCACTCCACATGACGGATTTTGAAGCTCCATCTTTCTCTCTAGGGCTCGATCTCGACCTCGATTCCGAGCCCAATTCTACTCCGGCACCTGTTCCATCTCTAAAACGTGCTAAAAAATTTCCAGCCACACAGAATCTCCGGACAATTGCGGAGGATGATGACGATGATTTTGAGTTGCCGGGTCCGGGTCCTGTCCCGAATTGTACGGATCCACCGCTGAAACTGAAGCGCCTCCGACGTGGGTCCACCTCCTGCAAACCCACACCAGCCGCCGAAAATCGGAATGTCAAGGAGGAGACGTGGCGTGATGTGGAAGACGAGATTGAAGAGTTCTCTTCGCAGGAAGATCGGCCTGAAGGTAAAAAGATTTCAGCTTTTTAGTACTATTTCATATTTTGAAATTATTTATTGTAAGAACTTTTTGTCACTTGTCCTCTGCTCCGTTTGGAATCTTTTTAGGGTAATTACTATTAGACGTTTATGTTTTTGCAATAATATAAATGAAGTATTTGTAAACCTATCCCAATGTGTGAGTTTATATCTGGCGTGGTTTACATATTCCCAGATTTTGGAATGAAATTGAAGTATGATGAGCTTAATAGGATCTGCTACTGCAAAGTGTGAATGCTACAATGCTGAAAAACATGAGGTTTTTGTTTACAGAGTATTAATCTACGCTTAAAATGACTGCATTCCCTCTATTTTTCCATGGAAATTGCGTTTTGGTGTCAAGATTCCAAGTTTCACTAACATCCACAATGTGTGTGTGTGTGAGAGAGAGAATATATCTTTTTTCTAAGAAAGAACTTCAAGTTAATGTGATTCATGACTACTAATAACTTCTAAACCCTATTTATGGTTTAATATTGTACTATTTCATTATATGCCCTATTGCCTTGGTTCTTTTAGTTTCCTTACTGAAGTTTTATGAGTAACTGTTACTTCTCCACTGGCTGCTGCAATTTCTGATCAATATGGTTATTTGGTGCATACCCTTTTATGTAATTAATAGCCACTAAGTTTATCACACTTTCTTAGTTTCTATAAAAAAAAATAGATTTACTTATTTGATAGCAGTCTTTAATTTTTTATGTTTATCAGGTCATCCAAAAACCCTTAGGTCTGTAAGTAGCAGTTCTAAAATCCCATTACACCGTCATGGGGAATTTTCCTCGCAATTAGCCAGCCAAAGTACTGTGAAAAGGAGAAGAGAGGATACAGATTCTTTGGCATTTGAAAATATGGAAAAAAGTGACAATAAATTTGTATCCCCCAAGTTAACTGTTAGTCCTCTTAGAAGGTTCCAGTTGATTGATTCAGATTCAGATTTGGATGATCCATCCATAATTGAAAACGGGAAGAAAAATGAGAAAGTAGAGTCACCTGGTCAATGCGCGGTCTCAAACAAACAGAGCACAGCTAAAACATCTCATGTGGCATCCCAGACCAATGATTTGTGGAAGGGTTTTTTGACAGAGAAGGACTTCAATATTGCTACCCCTGCTTTGGATGAAGTTTGTGATGAATATTTTAGATCTATGAGAGGTAGGGATGACATTCAGAATGTAAATGAAGGTTATCACCCAAAGAACAGTTTTGCTGAGAACAGTATGAAACAAAGGCATACAAGTCCTCTCTTTCCTGCTCATACATCTATGAGAGGTAGGAATGACATTCAGAATGCAAATGAAGGTTATAACCCAAAGAACAGTTTCACTGAGAACAGTATGCAACAAAGGCACACAAGTCCTCTCTTTCCTGCTCATAACTATTTTTTCCACAACGATTTAAGGATCCAAAAGCTAGTTCAAGACCGTCTGCCCCACTTTTTTCCCTTGGGAAGCAAACAAAATGAAGGATCAGTTGATTACACGTATGTGCTCATATCTGTGCATTTTAAGTCTGTCAACTTGCATCACTTTCTATCACTTCTCTGTAACTGTTCCTTTCCCTGATTTTTTTTTTCAGAGGGCAATTTTCTATTGGAGGACGTCCTGAAAAGCGAACTGTGAAGGTTGCAGCTGAGGCAAGCTCAACAAAGGGCAAAAAGAAAAATAATCCTAACGAGGCATCTCAAGCAGATGCGGGATGGATGAACCCTAAGAACTCTGCTGGGGTTCCAAAGGATGCTGGCAAGAGAAGGGTGCATGCAGCAGTTGGTAAACCAGCTGGGCATTGGTTCACGGCTGCAGATGGAAAGAGAGTAAGTTCAAGTTCATTCTAAGTATCATTGATGATCTTCAGAAGTTCTCATTGTTATTTTCTGCATTTTGTCATGTTCATTATACAATTATGTCAAATGTAGTCTAGTATTCAATTACTTTGATCTTGTTCCTTTAACACTCTTGAAATTAATGGTGTCTCATGTTGCTATTTATTAACCAAATCGTGCAATTAACTTAACACTGTTTACCAGGTTTATGTCACCAAAAACGGGCAAGAGCTGACTGGCCAAATTGCCTACAGACATTATAAGAAGGTAGGTTTCTATCTATTCTTTCCAAATACACTACATTAACATTCAACTCTTCATGAATTGTTTATCAACCTTTTTTATGTCAGCACCATTTTTATCAACTGGTTAACATGAATGGAAGAGTGTTAGTAATTGTGTGTTTGTTGATGGCATGCAGGAGAGCGGAACAGGGTTCAAGAAGTCGAAAGGGAAAGCAACTGCCAATAAGAAATCATCTGCCAAAAACAAGAAGAGATAATGCAGCTCCCATGGTAGATGGTACCACTAAATTTCAGATGTCCACATCACTGTTGTAAATAACATGTTTCTATCAATTTGGATATTAACACAGTTTTGATATTACATTGGTGATTCATTTTCTTGTTTAAAATAGGAAAATACATTGGGGATTCATTTTCTTGTTTAAAATAGGAAAATAATGCAACTTGCATCCTTTTAAGAAAATTTGAAGAGTCTTATGTGAAACTTCGCTTAGTCGGGTTTTGTAAGCACTAAACACTGGTCCTTCCGTTTAATAGTCTATTGAGTCGCTGTGATTCATCACATATATAAATCTTGTCGAGTTGAGCTGCTGAGGTGTCGTGTGAGAGTCTTGGCGGAGGGATTTTGCCTTGTGTACACAAAAAGGGTTAGAATTTTTGAGGTTGTAACGTGATAGAATACAAAAAATATTTTAATGTTTTAATTAATTAGTTTTTTTAGAGAAAAATGAGATGTAGAGTGTGATGAGTCAGCAGTGGCCAAGTGTGAGGCCACGTGGTAACTCCCTCGGATACTTTTGTAGCGTACTAAAATATGGACACCCACTCGGATCTCTGACAGACCGTGCAACTCTTGCTGCCGCTAATCGACGCCAACTCCATTTACTATATTACTGTTACTCCCAAATCTTTTCTACTCGCACTTAGCGCGTGTCGCTACCACCGCCTCTGCGTTACTTTAATTGCTTCAATTAAACGCATTAATAATGCAATTCCACCCTATAATCATTATTGGTTAGCAATAATTATGGAGAAAAGCAAGCCACACATCCTCTCCAAACACCACTGCTTAGTGCGCAGTGCCCATCATCACCATACAAAATAGGTTTTTTTTTTTCCTACGAGTTCAAATCTTGTATAAAATTTATATGATTATAAAAATTAAAGTTCTGATATTATAATTAGGCCATATTTAGTAAAATAGTTAACTTATAACCAATTTTAACTTATTTGACCATTATTAATTGTTTAGCTTGGTTAAAAGATCAATATAAGTACTTGATTAATTATTTTTTTGTAATTTTAAAATACTAAAATTCAAAAAACTACTTAAAACAACTTTTTCAATTAGCTTTTTGAGAAAAAAAAATATACCAAACAAGATGTTCTTCTTCATGATCTTCCAATTCCTTTATCAGTTTTCTCGAGATCAGATTTGAGCAATAAGGTCATCCTTCATTAACAGTCATTTATCAAGCAGGGCCATAATATCAATCATCTTGCTTACCGGCTGATCCAAACTACTTATCATGGATTAACACAAAAATTTTCAATTTTGAAGCACCAAAATTATCAATAAAATAAATTAAAAAGAAGAAAGAAGTGGGTCCTCATTTCTCAATAGAACACGACAGTGACACTTGAAAAACGAAGCACAAATCATTCAAACATCAAAATCTAGTTTGGCTATTGTTGGGTACTGAGTAGCATGGAAAGATAGCAATCAGTACACGAAAAAGTTAAATGCACGCTCCCAGCCAGAGCGTGGGTCACGCCACCACAGATAGGTTGAAAAACGACATTTTTAGCTGCCGGTTAAATCATGAGACGACGCTGTAACCTGCTACGATGACTACTAATAAAAACCCATCAATATTGCTCTTCTTACGTATACTGTAATAATAGACGTTGACCGTACCAATCTTACGCAAACAATCGCATATTCCCCACTCTGTGTTGCTATTTCTTCTTCGTTCTCAACAGCCTCACGAAACTGGAATACACCCATTTTTGCCCGGAGTGAATTGAGGCTGATTATCAGTTTCTCGGAGATAAAAAAGAGTTCTTTAATGGCAGCATCTGTGTTGAGGCTATGAAGATCACCGGCGCCAGTGTTGAGCTCCCTGCAATCCCGTCGTCTTCTAAACCGCAGGATCCTCCTCAGAAGCCGTGTGTCCCGCCGCGAAAACAGCCTCGCCGGAGAATCAAGAACTCCGGCGGCGGAGTGCGGGTGCGGAAGGACGTCGGCGGGGGATCTCAGGGGAGGAGGAGCCGCCCCGAGACCCCGCTTTTGCAGTGGAAGTTCAACGAGGGTGTGGAGGAGGGTGACAATGCTTGTGTTGTTGCGGAAGAGGTGTCGCCGCCGCCGCCGGAGAATCGCCGGAAATGTCAACGGAAACATAGAGCTGCAGTTTCGGTCAGGAAGCTTGCCGCCGGACTCTGGCGGCTGCAATTGCCGGAAGTGCCTAGTAATGGAGTAGAAAAATTAGGGTTCCAGGTAAGATATCTTTTATTCCTTTTACTCTTTTTAGGGCTTTTCCTTTTTCTACACTCTGAATTAAATGAATTCTTTCATCTCAGATTCCATTTTTTACTGCAAATCTTTCTCTCTTAACTCCAATTATGCTTGCCTTCATTACACAAATACATTATGGGTTCTTCAATTAAAGATTTAATGAAAGAAGTAATGATTTTGTTATATGGGGATTGTGCTCAAGACCCAAATTAGAAAATAGGTTATGAGGTTTAGTTGCAGTATTGATGATTTGATGATATCCTTGTTGGAACCTATGATGTACCATTGCTGATGTTCTGCCATTTACCTCTGTTAGTCTGTTAGCAATAAATACTAATAAGATGTACTTCTGCTGATATTAGATAAAAGTACCATTTTTTTTCTTCTAGTGACTAGGGAAACCACCGGGACCAGGTAAATCCCGTCTTGTGATCCTAGTCGGACCACATAAACCAACTTGATTAAGTTGTCCATAGTTGACTGGCTCAAACCAACCAGGTCAATAGGTCACTCTTACTGGGAGTCGAACTTGTAATCTTGTGGTTACCAAGTAAACAGTCTGGTTCGATTGCCCCCAAAGTACCAGTTTTTCTTACTTAGATAGTTGTCAATGTCAGTATTTCTGGTGACCTGATCACTGCCTTTAATGTTTCTTCTGATTTTAGCTGTTTGAGTCTTAAGGCTACCAAATCTTGTTCTGATAGTTGGGGAAGTTGAGTTTCATTTTGCTGTTCCTCTCTTCAATGCAGGCTGGAGTTCATCATCTTTCGGTCCCTTTTCATGGCCATCATCCTTGTAAAGTTCACGACTCTACACTTAAGGATCAAGTACAGAGCCCTCGTTCTGTCTCCGGTAAAAGAGATGGGTTCTTGTCTAAGGTACGCCATTCCCCTTTTCATTTGTAACGAAGATCTTATAAGTGTGCTTATAGAGATCTGTATGCTGTATAAGAACTGGAGGATATTGTATTTTCATGATTCATTCTTATATTATCCAGCTTCAATTCTTTTTTGTTTCTGCATTAATTCGTGTTTTACTCGCTTTTTTGTAGCTTGAGCCTTCATTTCAATTTTCCAACACCGCAATGGAGGGAGCAACGAAGTGGGATCCTATCGGCTGGAAAGCTGCAGAAGAACCGAAACAGATTCGTGGGCACCAAAAGCGTGATCAACAAGCACCTACTCCGAGAGTGATATCTGTCCTCGAGGCAGAGCTAGAGCAAGCTCGAGCTCGAGTTCAAGAACTCGAGACAGAGCGGAAATCATCCAAAAAGAAACTCGAGCAGTTTCTGAAGAAACTCAGTGAAGAAAGGGCAGCGTGGAGAAGCAGAGAGCACGAGAAAATCCGGGCGATTTTAGATGACATGAAAGCTGAGTTGAAGAGAGAAATGAAAAACCGGCAAAGGCTGGAGATAGTTAATTCCAAGCTAGTTAACGAGTTGGCTGATGCCAAGGTATCGGTGAAACGCTATTTGCAGGAGCTGGAGAAAGAGCAGAAGGCGAGGGAGCTGATAGAGGAGGTATGCGATGAACTAGCAAAGGAAATCGGGGAAGACAAGGCGGAAATCGAAGCATTGAAGAGGGAATCTGCGAAGCTCCACGAGGAAGTGGATGACGAGAGAAAGATGCTGCAGATGGCCGAGGTTTGGCGCGAGGAACGGGTTCAAATGAAGCTAGTCGATGCCAAGGTGACACTAGAAGATAAGTACTCGCAAATGAACCAATTGATAGTCGAACTAGAGTCGTTTTTAAGGTCTAGAGGCGCAACCGAGGATATGAAAGAAGTGGATCAACTTCGACAAGCAGCTTCCGATATGAATACCGGGCAAGAATTCAAGTACGAGCCCCCAAATCCAGGTGACATTTTCTCCGTTCTTGAAGACGTTTATTTTGCTGAAGCGAACGAGAAGGATATTATTGAAGCTCAAGAAGATGTTAGTATGCTTAATAAACCCAATTTTCCAAGGCATTGCAACGAACTAGACGAAGAGGGGACCGAGTGGGAAACCATCAGCCATCTCGACGATGAGCAAGGATCCAGCTATTCACCCGGCGCGAGTGATCATTCTCTAAACAAGAATTGCCAGCTCAGCGATGGCGATGGAAAACCACCCGTCGATATCCAAAATCAGCAACTGAAAATGTCCTCGATATCCAGACTCTGGAGATCACGCCCGAGCAATGGTCAGAATTACAAAATCATATCATTGGAGGGAATAAAGGCGGGGAGGTATTCCAATGAAAGACCTTCTAACGCCACTATCATGTCCCCCGGGCTTAGCCCCTCGGAGCAATGGAGCTCGCCTGATTCCTCAGGCCATCCTCATTTAACCCGAGGCATGAAAGGATGCATTGAGTGGCCGCGAAACTCACAGAAGAGCAGCTTGAAAGCCAAACTGCTGGAGGCAAGAATGGAGAGCCAGAAGATCCAGTTGAGACATGTACTAAAACAGAAAATTTAGAGCTGAGCTTTGAATGTGTAGCTTATCAGATAAGAGAGTTAAAGCAAAGCAGGAAGGCATTTCTTGCTTTTATTTGTAAGCTATACTCATCTTCTTCTGTTTAATTTAAACTACTATCTGCAGAATGAATGTATTGTCTATGCATCCAACAAATATTTAATTCTGTCGTGAATAGGGATGACAACGAGACGAGTTTAGCTCGTGAAATCATTGATTAGGGGTGGGGTCCTATGGATTGAGAATTATTCTGGCAAAACTAGGATCATCTAAGTTTTTTTAAAAAAAATTACAATGACGAAGTTACAACAATGCTGAAAAATATATGCAACTAAGAATTGTAAAATTAAATTGAAAGGTTTTTTCAGTGAGTTTTTTTAGTACTTTCTAAAAATGCAATATGTTTTGACAGCCCTAGATGTGTGGAGGAAAAGAAAAGTGGGGCTAATAAATGTGATAAAATTATTTTCAAATGGGAATAGTTTCTAAAGTTTTAACGATAACTTATTTGGTTACAACCATTAGAGTATGAAATTAGTAGACTTTCTAAATTGATCTACAACAATTAATTTTCTCACATGACCAATAATTTTAGTATATTCCTACTAAACTTTAAATTGATCTACAGCCTAGTCAGCAATCAACCGGAAAGAAGGCCTGCGAACCGGCTACCATGTGAAATTGGAGGCATTAGAGCCGTTTAGTGAAGTAATTGCACTTTTTAAAGTTTAGTGTTCTAATTGCACTATCGCGTTACGTTCAGTGATCAATTTGGCCCTTATTCCTATAAAAAATAATAAGTGTACTCCTAAATAATAAAACTCTTGTCACATATCTAGATTGTATTAAAAAGAAGGAAATAGAAGGAATAAAAATTATAAGTAACCTTTTTTTTTAATTAATAAGAATATATCATAGTAATCATACCAACAAAAATAAAAAATAAAGTAAAAAGTTGGTACATAAAATTTTTCTTTAATTTTTTATTTTTTATGCTGTTTTATGTTGCATCCACTCATCAGACTGCTATCTAACGTCTCTTGTAACAACAGGGATTTCACTATTTCACAAACCACATTGTAACAACCAAAACAGGCGCTATTTATACAGTAAATCAGTAATTATTATTATTATTATTATGAACAATAAATAAATTTTGAATAATACCAAGTTCAGAATTGTATCTCGAATCTGGGGTAGAGAGATTAGCCTTTATGAGTATATCAGTTTGTTTGAAATATGTAATATACAGCGGATTCAAGTCAAAAATAGGTGACCCAAGATCAGTCTATTGCCACAGTCTTGTGTTGAAAACAAAAAAGTAACTTTCATATTCATCCATGGCAGTCTAAATAGCAAATGCTTCAAAAATACTACATTCTTAAGCACCCAGTCTTTTCAACAAGAAGCACGGCATTATTAAATATAACAGCCCTTCAACAAGAAGCATGGCATTATTAAATATAACAGCCCATTCCCAACAAGCTGGTTTATAGCCAAGACTTGGTGTACAAGACATGTAACCATGTCATTATTAAATATAACAGCCCAACAAGCTGGATTATTGCCAAGACTTGGCCCCCCCTACCAGTGGGCATTCGGACTTTACAATGCTGCTATGCATTCAACTTCTATCTTTGCATCCTTGGGTAATGCTGCCACCTGATAAGTTGCACGGGCTGGATATGGTGATGGGAAATCTGCAAAATATTCGGATTAGACCACATTTCCAAACATTCATAAAGGATCTGAAGGACACATTTTGCATTCATAAAGGATCAGGTCAGTAACTTTCTAAAGCACTACTGATGCCTGATGGAGAACCCACCCATTATAATTAGGGACTCTCTTAATACTTTGTTTCCAACAACAAGGGTGGAGTTTAGAACATGATGGATAAATAGACCCTAGGCTGTTTCAATCAGGCAAAAAAAATATATATATATATATTTGAAGCAGGTTTCAATTTGTTTAGAGATCATCCTGAAAAAATATGACATGACACGACACAAAATGCAATCAGCGAGGATCATTTCAGAGTAATCACTAATCAGTAGCGAAGAAATGAGCATTTGACTATAAGTGAATATGTAGTTTCAACTTATCTACTTACATTTAGCATATATCGCATTCACGTTGTTGAAGTCATTCATATCAGCTAACCTGCAAGGAAATCCAAATAATTGGGCATCAGCAACCACGATTACACATTAGAAGGCATATGCACATAAAGATTCACAAAAGAAAAAGGTGACATATAGAAGACATACAAGATTGTAGTCTTAACAACACTGCTATAGTCAGCACCACCTGCTTTGAGTATCTCCCCTATGTTCCTTAGAACCTGAATACAATTAAGGCTCAAATGCATTAATCAGCAATCTATGCAACTATGCAAGTGAAGTTGACTCATATCAAGATAGCTTGGTGAAAAATGTAACGACCAAAACTACGGAAAAAGGGATCCTAGTCCAGCAACCCAAAAATGTTAATTTGATAGATAGGCACATGTGAAATTTTGGAAACACAGACAAATGAGGAAAAGGGATCAAATGCAATTTATGCAGTGAATATATTACCTGCTCTGTTTGGTTCCCCACATCATCCGACACAAACTCCTCAGTCTGCATCGGTATAAAATATCTCAAAATTAAATGTTCAACCATGTACAACAACATATCACCATATGAAACAATTTTAAGAAAATATATTAATTATACCCAAAAAAAAAAAAAAAAAAAGATACTGTAACATGACAGACCTCTGGATCAAGACCAAGCATTCCAGATACAAAAAGAAGATTATTTGCTTTGATGGCTTGAGAGTAAGGTCCCAGTGCAGCTGGAGCCTTATCAGTTTCAACAGCCTCCTTTACACCTGATACAATAGTAATCACATCAGACACAAGAAAACCACAGCATAGTAACATCAAAAATGGAAGGGACAGTCGCACAGTCACACAATATAAGCCCATAAAACACCGGAATGCATTACTCTCCCTGACTTTTAGACAAAATTATACAGAATAGTTCTTTCAATTAAGGAATTAAATCCTACAAATTTTAGGAAATGTCCTACCAATCCGATCCGTTTTGCATCAACTTAAACGGAATTTGTTGGAAAAATTAGCTTAAAATGACATAAAATGGTATATTATGTGGCTATTTTGTGGTACAATTATTAGCGGGGTCCATTTCCGATTTGGGTCGGGTCAAAGTGGATTCGGGTTCTTCGTAGTGAGACGAAGAGATTAATATATTGTACGCTCAAAACGGATAATGGGTGAATGAGATATTGATTCTCAAAGTAGACCCATTTGAGTTGGGAAATGAAGGAAAAATAGTGGACTTTGTCCCACATTGGTTTGGAAACAAGATTTGCCCCCATTATATACATGAGCTCTTTTGAAGCTTGTAAACTTGTATAGTATAGAGGTTTTCTCGCGCGGGAGGGAAGGGGGGTGCAAATCAAAATCAAACTAGAGGAGATCGAAAAGGCTTGATTCAAGCTCAAGCTTGCGTGTGTGGTTTGGAAATTGGCTGGTATCATTTTCCACGAGAGATGTACTCTCGTGTGAACCTGCACCCCAACGGTTGGTTTAATACCAATTAAAGGCTATGTTGAATGCAATCCCTTCCAACATCCCTATATAAAGAGAGGTAGAGCAGTAGCATTTTACATTTTCCACGAGAGATGTACTCTCGTGTGAACCTGCACCCCAACGGTTGGTTTAATACCAATTAAAGGCTATGTTGAATGCTATCCCTTCCAACATCCCTATATAAAGAGAGGTAGAGCAGTAGCATTTTACATTTTCCACGAGAGATGTACTCTCGTGTGAACCTGCACCCCAACGGTTGGTTTAATACCAATTAAAGGCTATGTTGAATGCTATCCCTTCCAACATCCCTATATAAAGAGAGGTAGAGCAGTAGCATTTTACAGTATAGAAAACGAAAAAGGAATTCCAGTAGCTTTCAGCTTAACAAGGAATCATAGCACGTTTTATCCTGGGAAACCTAGGCTACAACGCTCCTAGCACTTGTGGGAGGTAGCAAATAAGGTTTTAAGGAAAAGAACTTTGTGTTCAAACTCGTGCTAAACCTATATCCAAACTCTCCACCTTTTCCTTCCCAGATTTTCTGTTTTCCATATAATATTAATCTTTTCGTAGGATTATTATTTTTGGGATTTTTCAACCATATTACCCAACAGAATTGATTATTGCATTGCAGTAAACATGTGCAAGTGAATAATACAGAAAATAAATCTTAAAAACTCAAAACATTTTCCAGAGTCACAGAACGAAGAACAATCATTCCGAGTAAGCTGCTTTTGACAAATAATCTTATCCTTTGATTATCACTCACAGAGCATTATGGAGTTAATTTAGTGTGAGGAACTCACTTGTATCAGTAGAAGCGCTAAAGGAAGCGAAAGGCTTTGACGACCGGCGAGAGGTCGCAGCCACCAGTGATACACGGCCTGCGCGGGCGAAGGCTGAGGGAGAAGGGTTGCGAAATGCGCAGACGTCGGAGGGGCGCAAATGCAAAGCCTTCGCTGCGACGAACAAGGAGGCCATTGATTTTTCCGCTTCACTCACCAAATCCTTCAACTTCGACTGCGCTCTGCTCTGCTCTGCTGCTTGTGCTTAGCTTCCTTCCTCTACTGTCCATTTTATAGTGCCAAAAAATGGAGTACTATTTTAACAAATTATTATAATAATTTGATTAATCCAACCAAACATTTTTTTAAATTAGTTTAACTCATATTTTATTGGAAGTTTGGAACCTGCACATTTTCGTCATTTTTTAATTGTACGGAACACACCGTATTTTATATTTAGTAATAAAGTTTTTTGTTCACGGTTCATTGGGCAAAAAACCCAGTCATTGAAAGACTAAATTCACATTTGTGGGCTCAATCAATGTCAACCTCGCGTGCAAATTATTGTGTGGACTATGATTCACACTGATATTGTAAATTTTATGAGTTAAAATAATATACTTTATAAGTTAAATAATATATTTTAGAGTTAATACTCAAAATGGTCCCTCGATTATGCCATAATTACCAATTTGGTCCTTAACTACCATTCTTACCCAATTAAGTCTTCAACTATGTAACTTTTACTCAATTAAGTCCTCAACTATACAATTCTTACCTAATTTAGTCCTCTGTATTAATTTGACTGTTTGTTGATTGTCAAAAGTCGGGATAAAATTATAACTTTACAAGATTTCTCCTTCCTCTTCATTTAGCAGCGCCAAACCATGCAGCAATACACTCCGATCAGATTTCGATCGTCAAAAAATCGTTGGAAATCAAATTCATGGGCTATCCGATACATAACCACTACTTCGATACTGACAGGTTTAGAACCCAACCGGAGCTTATTGCTACATGGTTTGGCGCTGCTAAATGAGGAGGAAGGAGAAAACTTGTAAAATTACAACTTTATTTCCACTTTTGACAGTCAACAAACAGTCAAATTGACAAAGAACTAAATTGGGTAAAAATTGTATAGTTGAGGACTTAATTGGGTAAGAATGATAGTCGAGGACCAAATTGGTAATTACGACATAGTCGATGGACTATTTTGGGTATTAACTCTATATTTTATGTACTAGAATAATGTACATTATGCGTTTAGAAAGAGTTCTACTACATATATTTTTAAATTCTACTCCCTCACTTTTGCTCTATGATGTGACAAACAATGATGGGATATTTTAATTATGTGGAATTGTGGATCCCAGAAAAAGTGTCTACATCAAAGATTTTGTGAGGGGGAGTAAAAGTTGAGAGTGAGAAGTAAGAGTCCTATTTTCTTTAGAATAATGTACCTTTCACATGGGTTGTCATAAGCATTTAACGTTTTGTCTTCTTGATGATTAAGCTAGTTGCTTGAGGTGTTGTTTGAGTTACTTAGTTGATGACAAACACGGAAGTGAGTGACCAACTAGGTAGTAAAGAAGTTGCACAAACAAGTAGGTGAATCACTAAACAAGTAGGTATTCATCAAGCTAAGTAGGTGAAGCACAATCCTCAAGCTAGTAGCTCTCTTCAAAAGTCTTAATGTGAAGATGCTTTGTCTCCAGTAAGCTAATTGCTTGAGGTAGTGAAGAAGTTGCACAAACAAGCTATGATTCATCAAGCTAAGTAGGCAAAGCACACTCCTGAAGCTAGTAGTTCTCTCAAAAGTCTTGATGTGAAGACAATTGAACATAATTATTTTTGCTAGCACAAAAGTGTTAAAAGTGCCTAACCCGACACTACTGTTGGTAAAACTCAATCCCTGGACCATTCTTCTCAAACTTCACACATGTGACCAATTGAGTTGCACATGCAAGCACCAGTTGCATATTTTATCTTAGAAAAATAAAAATAAAAGTATATTTCCTATAATACTAGCTCAGTTGGTTCAACTTATTACTCTAAAATTGCTTCAAATTATATTTTCTTCTAATATGGCCATATGGGTAGTTGAATATGTACAAACCAAACCTTCCCCACATTATTTATTTCGTGTTGCGTGTTCAACATCATGTGCATACTTTTTTTTTTTTTTTTAATCTCTACATATATATATATATATATATATATATATATATATATATATATATATATATATATATATATATATAGAGGGACGCACTCAGGTGCGAATAAGTGCCCAGGAAGAAAATGCGAACGAATCAGCGCGCGACACGTGTCCAGGTCTAATAACTTAAAAAAAACGCGGTGGCATTTTCGCAAATAATTGAACATAGAAGTGCAAGTAAAATCTCTTATAAGTGCACCTATTTTCACCTATAAGTGCATGTAATTTTGCCTTGTTAGCATTCACTTTCCGCAACCATTCATGCACCTGGGTGTGCTTATAACTATATGTGCAATTATTTATAACTATAGGTGCAACTACTTATAACTATAGGTGCAACTACTTTCACCTATAAGTGCATGTAATTTTGCCTTGTTATCATTCATTGATCTGAGTTCAGCGGGTAGTAATACTCCTGAAAACCACTCGCAAACATTCATACACCTAGATGCAACTACTTATACCTATGTGTGCAACTACTTAGAACTATAGGTGCAACTACTTAGAACTATGAGTGCAACTAAGTATTGATGCTCAGTGTAAATTTTTACTTGCACCTCTAATACATTTTACATGCACTTGTAATACATTTTACTTGCACTTCGATGTTCAATTATTTACGAAAATGCCACCGCATTTTTTTTAAAAATCAGTGTTTCTCATCCATTAGATCTGGACACGTGGACGAACAGAATCCATTCCTATTTCGCGCCTGGGCGAGCCGTTCGCACCCGAGTGTATCTCTCTCTCTCTCTCTCTCTCTCTCTCTCTATATATATATATATATATATATATATATATATATATACACACACACACACACAAATAATATATGTATGTATTATATATACACACATATGATTAACGTTCATAGATATTTAATTAACATATAATATATAATTAAATTACTTGTTATATTATGGATTTAATGAAATGATAATTAAAGAAAAAGATATAGTAGATGTAGTTGTAGGGTAGTAGTGATTGAGTTATCAATGTTATCATTAGATAGTAAGGAAATTATAATACGGAGTAATTGTAGTTTTGTCTAAAAAAAAATGCTAATAAGTTAAATGACAATTTTATCTAGTCATCCAACTACACACTAAACTGCAATTTGGCCACTAAATTCAAATAATAATAATAATAATAATAATAATAAATTACAATTGAATTCCTGAATAACGCAAATTCATGTAATTTAATTTAAAATGACTTGTTTACATGTTAATCTTTTGAAAAGAAGTAAAATTACAATTTACATCTGTTATCTTTAAAAAGGAGAGAGTGTATTTTTAGGACCTCAATTATGACATAATAGTATTTGGCATGTCAATATTTAATCATAAGTTATTGCCAAAAATTGTTGATTTAGTCACCTACCTAATGGAATTTGTTAATTCTAAAAGTGATTTTAGAGTGGGTTGACGGGTTAATTGGCAGGATTCTATTACTATGAATACTAACACGTGTTTCTAGTCATAGGATCAGCTCATGGAGTTACCTTCAGACATTGAAGATTGTGGACCTGGGGTCACTGTTAGAGCAATTATATTTGTGATTTTTGGAAGAATTTATTCAGGACAAAAATTTAAGGGACGTTAATTCGTATACTGCAAGTTGCAGTTATATATTCATACTGGGCCGCGAGACAGACATGCATTAAACATCTTATCTACCTATGCAATAATGCAAAATATCCCTCGTAAATATATATTAAATATATCATTCATCTACTTCTCAACCAAAGCAATAAATGTGTCTGGTAGAGTGTAATGCATGCGCAGTACGTAGTGCTATAAATCCCCCTTGCACATGGGCCATGGCATATCAACATGGAGAATATAGAGTTCTTTAATTGTAAATATAAAATTATGAAATTGTGAATATAGGGTTCTGTATTGTGAATATAGGGTTCAAAAATTTTGAAGTAATTGTGAATATTAAGTTTTGTAATTTTGTATATTGAGATTTAAAATTGTGAATATTAAGTTATAAAATTGTGAATATAGAGGAATGAATTATGAAGATAAACAATAAGGAAGCTTTTTTTTTTTCTTTTTTTTTTTTTTTTAAAATTCAGACGGCATCGTTTTCGACCCTGGTCCATGGCATAACAATTGGTTATGTGTCCTGTGGGCTGTTCACTGGCAAATATGAGCTTTGAAGGAGAATGGGAATGGTCCATCCTCAATCTTTATCCACATTTACGGTGTGTTTGGTTTGGAGGAAGGAATTAGGAAGGAAAGGAATTGTAATTCGGTGGGAAAAGAATAAGGTAGAATAATGTAGGAATTCAAATTACATTGTTTGGTATGGAAGAATAGAATTATTGGGGATGAGAAGGAAAAAGTGGTATAAAGACTAGAATGTCCTTGTGTAATAATAATAATAATAATAATAATAATAATAATAATAATAATAATAATAATAATAATAATAATAATAATAATAACAATCAACAAGGGTATTTTTATCATTTCTTACACTTTTTCCTTTCCCAAAAGCATTGAATTGCAATTCATGGGGTTACCCCATGAATTGCAATTCAACAAAAGGAGGGAATTGCAATTCCCTCCAACCAAACACTGTAATTGAAGCATTCATTGAATTACAATTCAATTACAACTAAATTACATCCAACCAAACACCCCCTCATCGTCCCAATAAATGCATGTAGATATTTCCTTATCAATCATGTTTGGTAAATGATAGATTCACCAATTTTTTGACGGATTCATCATTTTTAATGATTTGACATGGTTAAATTGTCAAAAAAATTGTTTGGTAAAGCAATAGTTTGGAGTAGCGATTTGCTCCAAACCACTGCTTTTGCAACATTTGCAGTTGGCGTTTTGAAGAAAATCATATTTTTTTCCAAAACACCCATAGTTAGTAGTAGTAGTGGTAGTGGTAGTGGTAGTGATAGTAGTAGTGGTAGTGATAGTGATAGTAGTAGTGGCGGCAGTAGTGGTAGCGGCAATAGCGACAATAGGAGCAGCAGCAGCAGCAGCAGTAGCAGTAGTTATTCAACCTATTGC